CGGATGACGGCTCTCGTCACGACCACGTCTTTAGTTACCACGTGGGTGTGCTTACGAGAAGGACATTTGGTCTTGTTCGTAATAAAGCATGCAGTAGAGAGGTAGCGTGCTCATGCTGTTTCGGGCTCTTCTACGCGTCCTTGTCTAGTGCTGCGAATCACCCCGCCGCGGTGGTCTAGTGGCTAAGGTACTCGGCTGCTGACGCGCAGGTCGCGGGATCGAATCCCGGCCGCTGCGGCCGTACTTTCGATGGACGCGAAAATGCTCAAAGCCCGTATTCTTAGATTTAATTGCACGCTAAATAACTCCAGGTGGCCGAAATTTCAGGAGCCCTCCACTACGGAAGAAAGGAGACGCCGTGTTGACGAGGCTGTGAATGGAACATATTTCAAACCAGCAGCGGCGGCGTGACCGGTTGACCAGCCACCGAGCGGAGACCACTCGGTGGCTGGTCAACCACACGCGCGTCATCCCACAAAATGTCAACATGCATGTAGCAATATTATTATGTCCTTCCCCTTAGTGTGGGGTAGTGAACCGGTTGACCTCTCTGCCTTTCCCTCGTTTTGATATCTTTGCTTAGTCAATAGTGTACGTATGCTTCTCATACAGAATATAGTATGGGTACGCCTAGTGATTAGAGTCGACAAAGTGCATGAGGTGAATCAAAGGAAAGTTAGGGTAAATAAAGAGAACCGACGTCGAGATATAAGAGAACTGAGAGCTTAATAAAGGTGAACCAAATGGGAATTTCAAAGTATTAAGGGCATGTAAGCCAATCAAATGGCCACCCCCCCCCCCCTTTCTCCCCCCCACACACAAACACACACTCAAAAAAGAAATCGGTTTTCACGCACACATACGAATACGCACGCAAAGACGCATAAACAGTGGTTGACCCTTTCCCCGAGAAGCAAACAATTCCTGGATAAGCCTCTTGTACAAAGGTTACAATAACAGAGAGCTGAGCTATAGTTGGTACGTATCCATTTTAAATGAGACAGGGCATGCAATCATGGATGTAAGCAGGAAGTCCACTGCAAATGCCTACTAACAACTGAAGAAGAAGCGCGAAAAAAAAAAAAAAGGCACGGAAAACTTATCTGCGGCTAATTCAGGCCATGGTGTCGCCGCCTCGGCAATGCGTTTTTGGATGGTCACACAACTTACTACAGCCAGCGGGAATAGACTTTTTCATGATTCGCAAGTGCACTTCTCTGCACTGCATTGGTGGCACCTGTTGCGCTTCAGGCAGAGACGCGGTCCTAGTTGTATCTGAACGTGCTGGGCATTGTCTATTATGAGTGTATATGTCGAGAGATGCGACCCAACATCTTCCATGTCATTGCGTAAGCAAACTGCGCTTGAACATGCTATTTGCCCTAAATGACAAGCTTCCATTAGTTGTTCAAACTGCATAGCACTAAAGCTATAGCTTTGCGATTTTGAAAAGGCCTCTTCCTTCCTCGAAAAACTGTACATCTTGAGAAGAAGAAAAAGAGTCGGAAGACCCTGAGGCAAATATCAGTTGCTTCGCTAGCCTGATCTTTACGACAGGACGAGATAAGCTATGTGAAACGAGCCCGGAGTGAGTAGCTGTCGTTCCAGTATATGGCTTCACATTTATGACATAATTCGCGTAATCGTGCGTCTCTCCGACACCGTTTCTTGTTTCATTGGCTTTTTTTTTTCGTTTCCCAGTAATTAGGCGAAACATGCTTCGAGTTTCTGGAGTCGGTCTTACCTCAGGAGATCAGATCTTCGTTCTCATGCTGTATATAGCGAGCTTTGTTGCCTAATGTGTTAGTGTCGTTAGTAGAGACATGAACACTTCACATGTGTTCCGCAATAGTTGGTTCAAGTCGCTTATGGCTCCCCGCCGCTGTGGTCCAGGGGCTAAGGTATTCGGCTACTGACCCGCAGGTCGCGGGATCAAATCCCGACTGCGGCGGCTGCATCTTCGATGAAGGCGAAAATGCTGTAGGCCCGTGTGCTCAGATTCGGGTGCACGTTAAAGAACCCCGGGTGGTCGAAATCTCCGGAGCCCTCCCCTACGGCGTCTCTCATAATCATATCGTGGTTCCGGGACGTTAAATCCCCACATATCAATCATCATCAAGGCGCTTATGGCGTAAGCAGCACATGCACGTGACGTGGCGGTTGAAATAGACACTAGTCACGACAACTGTCAATTGATGATCTTAATCGTAGAGCGCATGCGACAACAACAATTGAGTTCATGTCTTAGGGCATGTGGGCAGCAACCTCTGGGCTAGCAAGAGCCGTTGCAAGCCTGGCTGTGCATGCTCTTCGCCGATCGAGCTAACCGGAAGCTATTGTGCACTCTTGCGTGCACCCCCCCCCCCCCCCTCCTTCTGCGGTGACAGATAATCGGACAGAATATGAATGGGTCCGTCGACAGTACCTCGGTTAGGGTTAGCTCGGTAGCGAACAAAAATTCAAAATGGCGGCTGAAGAGGTACCCATAAACAGAGCGCGCCTTTGCTTCTATCTAATGAATTGCTTTATTGAATATGCATGCATTTACTGTTTTTATTGAGCCGGACGGAATCCACGTGTGGATTTTGATGTTATGACAAGGGGGAGAGGCGTTCTGAATATATATTGCAACAATTCGTACCAATTCAACCATAATGGGGCGCATCACAATCAGAGGCATCCCACTTATCCAGGGTGATGCCTCCCCCTTCCCAGTGATTCAACATGACGTGTTTGACCCCCCCCCACTCCCTAAGACACCGTTGTTTTCGCTACCGTTGTAGCTAGTTGCAGTGCGTCAGCGCGTGGCATTTTGACGTGGCACCGCCCCCTCTCACTATAGAGAAAGGAGGAACATGGCTACGAGAAACTGCGCACTCTCTCTTTATTAGTTAGACTCGAGATTAGTGGTCTGCACTTGTGTCCCAATATTTTCAAAAAATAGGGCGTATAGCACGCGCTAATCGAAGTGAACTAATAGTACGTGCATGCTAGCCATGCGAGACAAATAGAAAAAAAAATGGAGGTGTGCCGCTTCGTGGTAAAGAGCAGGAGACAATTCACAATTGGTACACCCGTTTGTATGGATAGACCAATCGAGAGCTTGTTTATTCATGACGTCACGCCAACAGACAGCTGGCGTCACGAACTGCGCCGGAAATACGGAACACGCCTGAATATAACTACGCATTCGTTCTTTGTTCTTTCTGAAGTTTTTTTAGGGGCCATTTGTAAGATGTATTTGGTGTAGCCCTGCTTCTTCAGTGCATGTGCCCCTACATCGGTGTGGCCACTTGTACGAGTGTCAATAACCTCTCGCTCCTTGAAGATATCGCTGGTCGAAACACCAGCTTGTCTGTGCTCTCCGTCTATGTGCGTACCCGACGACAAAACGAGTTATCAAGCGTCTTATCAAGAGTGACAATCTCTCCAAGCAGAGGCAAAGTTCATTCGAGTCGCTGCCCTATCGGTTTACTCGCGCCAAGAAAAGATACTGTCTATCCTGAATGGCTTGCGATCATCAGCGCGGGATCGCATCGTTGGAAGCACATAGCCCTTTATCGCTTGCACGCCGGCTACACGCGTTATATCCTGTATTTCAGCTTCCGAACACTTATTTGATGGGGAGTACACTGCTTGACGTGTCCACCTGTCAGCGTAACTAAGAGGTGATATTTGATCTGCGAGAGCGTCTGAAACGGTGCAGTACATTGCGATCCGCCTTGGGTGAGCATACGGGTAAAATATATTTTACGGGTCGATGGTCTTGATATGTCTACATGGCGGCGCTGTGGACTGAGGGCAACCGTTCCTCTGCAAGTGTTCCGCTCAAACGCCGGCTTATCCGTCAAAGTAAGTTGGTGAATGATTGCTTCTCGGTTCTATGGACTCCGTGTTCATTTGCTGGCTGAGTTATCTGTGGTTATCGCTGAACAGACGTGAGAGCGGTGGTTATCGCTCACAAGGGGGCCTCTCGACTTCCGAACGCTTCGAACGAACGCTCATATGGCATCTTCTACTTCGCCAGAAGCCACGCCCCCCCCCCCCCCCCCGCCGGACAGCGGCGCTGATTGCAGCGCGTTGGTGTAATCTAGGAGAGGGGTGTAAAATAATTAAATACCTGTGCTATATTTAGATGCACTCATATAAACTAGCTTCACTTGCCACGTTGCCCCCTCTCACCTAATGTGTTTTTGCAAATGTGCCAGTATTGAAGCGTTGGGCCATAGCATAACATACGATAGCATGACACTGTTTAAAAGGCTAGCTGGTTGTTCTAATAGTGCGCCGAAATTATACTTGAAGAGAGCGCCGATGCAGATGGAAAGCAGTTGCACAATTAAGAAGAAACCTCTTAAAATCGGCAGACTTGCTTCATTTTGGGTTGTATTGAGACGAAGCACCTACAATGAACATCTTGGCGATCAGTTATCGATAACTAATCCTCCAAATTGGGAAAGCATATGCCTAGACGAATAAGTTTACCAGAAGTGTCTCTTTTTTGAGAAATTTCGCGCTCGAAGTAGAGGATCTTAGAAGAATTAGTGATCACTACTACATTAACACACCAGCACTGTCTAGTGAGTGGCTGTTTTCGTTGCCTAGGGAGCAAGGGCATATAGGGAAATTTTTTTCTGGGCGGGTTCCTTCTTGATATGACGGGGGGGGGGGGGGGGTAGATGTGGTGGGGTGTCATTTCATGCTCTCTACGTCATTGAAAAAAAATGGGGTGAGGGGGCACGGGCGTTTGTGTCAAACTTTTGCCTCCGACCTGGAGTGCACAACGGTGTCACTGCGTTCAGAGCACAGCAAGCAGCTATCTATTCTTTGTACTGTAAAGCAATCAGTGCTGTAAAATACATAAATTTTCCGCGCTGCTGAACAAATTTATTGGTTCGTAAATATATATTCGTAAATATTCGGTTTGATTTGCATTTGGTTTTAATTCTTCGAATTGACTTCGAAGTTGAAATTTACATATTCACAAACCGCTGATCGAGTTTCAGAGTGTCTCTTAAATTGCACAGTGCGTTCCGCACCGCTAGTTTGGCACGTATATCGAGGGGGACTCGGGCACCCACAAGGTCCAACTGCGCTACTTTACGCAGGCAACCACAGCAAAAGGAGGGGGTGCATGGTCGATGCGGTACCTGCCGCTGTCTCGGCAGACGCCCGTTCCGTCGGACTTGGACATCGCGTTCGCCCAGAAGCCCAAGTTGGTCGATGAGCTCGCCCGCGAGATGGGACTCGAGCCGCACGAGTGGGAGCCCCATGGCCGACACAAGGCCAAGCTGCTGCTTCCGCTGCTGAACAAGTAGGCACACACTTACGTTTTGCGAATCCATGGACGTTTTGACGATGGAACGATTTGCGTGAAAAAAAAAAAATGGCTTTCAGCTGTGGAAATTTGATGAAATAAACATAAAAAACACAAAATTCAGCGCGAAAGCACTTTTTTTTGTCATGGCCAAAGCCCGCATGCAGCTGGCGTTCGCAAAAGCCGCGTCCGGAAATCACGTGACCATTCCCACCGAAAATGGCGTCGGTGGAATAGGTCATTCCGGCGAAGCCAACGTCTCTAGAATTTCGCGCCAAGCACACACCCAGCTGGTGTCGCCGCAGTGACGACCTGCGCGCGCTCCATGTTACGTCACAGCAACCACCGCAAAAATTAACCGCGGCATATATCAAAGAAAACTCCTCTCCCAGCCCCAAATTAAGAATAACATTTCTAAATACGCCCCTGCTGATCCTTCCCGGGTAATGTGTAGGCGTAAGCTATGGATAAATTGCACAAATACGAAAGGAAAAAAAAATATCAACTAACACAAATATGAACTGTGAAGTATTTTGCAACTAGTTTGAAGTTCATCCAGTACATGTAATGTTGTCTTGCACGAAGAGCTGAATGTTGAAGTCTCGACACTATGTTCTCGCTGAGTTACCCGGATGTTTCGTTTGAAGTGCCTTGATAAAGGCGCTCGCACTTTGGCCCAAGGTCACTTGAAGACCCGCTGACAATGCGAGCTAAAATCCTTTCACGCTTTGAAACTCTGTTCTCCTGAGCTATGCTGATGCTGTGGAGTTCTGATAATCCTGTTTCAAACAAACTATCTCCACTGTAAAAGGGACACTCAGGTGCGTAACCAGGGGTAGTGCCCTGGCGCCTCCCACCAGAAAAAAAAAAACTTTTGGATACGGGCCTTGGATGGATCAACCTTGAACGTTCTTTCGAAGCAAAATTAATGAAGCTGTATATATCGTTCATGTCAGTCGAGCCACAAGTTCAGTGACAAGATTGTATAGCGGCATCCAAAGTGGAAGCTAAAGAAGAAAACGATGGCGCCCTTGCACAAAACGAAGAAATGGAATTTGGAGGCCACAGCTTTTAAAGTGAAAACTTCAGCGCAAACCAGGACGTACGACAAATAATAGATGACATTTATTCTTTGTTGTCCGCCCTAGTTCACACTGAAGGTTTCCCTTAAGAAGCTGTGTTACCAACTATAGGCCCAAGTGAAGTTCTATTGGAGAAAAGTGCAGCAAGTTGGGCAGGTTTGTGACTTAGGCATAGCTTCTCGTACGTAGCGCGTATATTGATTTGGATATGTGGGGTTTAACGTCCCAAAACCACCATATGATTACGATAGACGCCGTAGTGGAGGGCTCTATAAATTTCGACCATTTGGGGTTCTTCAACGTGCACCCAAATCTGAGCACACGGACCTACAACATTTCCGCCACGTAGCGCGTAAAACACGGATGCAAAAGACAGAGACGTAGACATCACAAACACTAAATTTGACGATAGTTATAGCGCGAGAACAAAACGACGACACAGAGACAAGAAGGACACGAAACTATCGTCATGCCATACCAACTAGCCCAAGCTGCCACATTACTAAATTTGAACCATGTTTATTTCGGAACACGCAAGAATGTATCACGAAACGTTTTTTTAGCTGAAAAGCACCAAGCAATAAAAAATTAAGAACGAGCGCTATGTGCCTCCAGCTAGCGTGGTATTGTTCTTAAGGCCTGACCACATGCATCTGTTACAACGCGTCAGATCGTGGCTTTTTGGCGCGGTGTCGCGCCTTCTTTCATATGAATAGGGAGGGCGCACAGCTTCGCGTAGCCGAGTACCTTCTCTCTTTATGGGGAAAAGGTGTGGCGCCGCGTCCTAAAGCTCCGAGCTGACGCGCTGCAACGGATGTTTGTGGTCAGGCCTCAAAGCGGCGCCGCGCCCTCTCCGAATAGAGAGAGAGGGTACACGGCTACGCGAAGCTGTGCACCCTCCCTATTCATACGAGAGAGGGCGTGACGCCGCGCCAAAAAGCCATGAGCTGACGCGCTGCAACGGATGTTTGTGGTCAGGCCTTAACGCGGCTCCGCGCCCTCTCCAAATAGAGAGAGAGGGTACACGGCTACGCGAAGCTGTGCACCCTCCCTATTCATATGAGAGAGGGCGTGACGCCGCGCCAAAAAGCCACGATCTGACGCGCTGCAAGCAACGTTTTTAGAAATTCTAAAAACATTAGCTGCAGTGATGAGTGCCAGGCTTTTAGATGTATGTAGCACGTCAAACTATTTTTTTATTCCGCCAAGTTTGTTGTCTTCTTTTCTTCCCTTTTTTGAGCGGTACCATCAAAATGTCGCTTAACGTCCATCATAGTCACCGATAACCTTTTAAAGCGACCATGCATGAGAAGACTTTGCTAATTCATTCAACTTACACATGAGGGCACTAAAAGCGTCACGCGTTAGGCAGCAATCACCTGGCATTTTTTTTTAAATATCGCGCACTTTAAAGAAACGCTGGAAGAAAAAAATAATCAGCGTTGTTATCTTACCGTAAATAGATTTAGTTATTACTGGATAAAGGCTACAAGTTTTGTATTAATTTTTTTTCTCTAGAGCCAGTACTTAAGTAGTTGATTAAGCTATGTTTCTTAATTCCTGGGCAAATGATGGATGAAAATATATACATGTTAATATAAGTGGCCACACGAACACCCACATTCGTGCAGGCAAGGCACGGACGGCCACTACGTCCTGGTGACGGGAGTGAACCCGACTCCATTGGGCGAAGGCAAGAGCACCACTTCGGTCGGGCTGGTCCAGGCACTGGGCGCCCACCTGGGACGCAATGCGATCGCCTGCTTGAGGCAGCCCTCGCAGGGCCCCACCTTCGGCATCAAGGGCGGCGCAGCCGGTGGAGGATACGCGCAGGTACCCTTCGGCTTTTCTTCGGCAATCCTGGGTTCTCGCCTTTGTCGTTAATCGCCGGACTTTCACAGCAAGTACAAAGTGGCTTGGAGCCTGCTCTGTTCCTAGGATGAGGCGTGGGTACGTGGTGGCGTCACTCGTAGGTGGCAGCTGGCGCAACTGAATGGGATTGAATGCCGTAAAAATACCAGGCGCACCGAAGCAAACCCCTCTCTTTTTTGGAGGGGGGGGGGGGGGGGAAGGGGGATATATACAATATTCGCAAATTACATATGCTCATCCTGCCACTTTCACGTACTACGTTCCCTATTTTGGAAACAGCGGCTGAGTGCATGCGTACTCATATTTCATTGGAATCACGGGTATGCATATTTAATTTTTTGTGACTCTTCCTCCACCACATTGAATTTTGCTCCATGACTGAGCAATGCCACCCCCCCCCCCCCACTCTCCTTCAAATGTTGTCACATTATTTTTCACGATGGGGTGGGGGGAGGGCTTGCTCGAAATTTTACGGTAGGCGAGGATGTTAGGTTTGACTGAAAAATAATGTATTCGTTCTCTTTTCTTTCTTTATTCAATATTGCACGCCTTATACAGGTCCAAGCAGGGTGGGAGAAGAAAAACAACAACAAAACGAAGCAAACACAAATATAGTCAATACAATTAGCAATGATCCCAATGTGATTAAATACTACAATGAATCATTCCCGTCTGTTATGATGCGTGGGAAAAAAGAAAATTTGAAAATCTTAACTCCCGGGTAAATACAGCAGACTCATTAAAACCTTCTGAAACTCATTGAAAAACTAGTTTTATGCTGAGCCTATTTCGCCGGCATCAACCTTGGCTGAGCTTGAAAGCCAAATTAACGCAACGAGGCGTTCTCTTGGTTTGTATCACTGAAGGAGCCCAGTGGTACAATGTTTTGCGGGAGGTGGAGGAGGTGCATTCAGCTCAGGCAGCCTTTCTCTCACTGGCAGGACATGAGTGGCAAAAGCAGTCAATAGTCTGTAGCGTGCAAAGTTTGCTGCCAATGCTGAATGTCGCTAGACACAGATATTTGAAGTCTGTGTGGTAATCAAACTGTTCAGCTAATTGATGCTGCATAGAAAAGTTTATAGATTTTAGCAGGGGGGTTACCCACCCCCTCTCTTAAGAACGCCTGTGAAGGAGAGCAATGCTATCACTCTAAGCGTTTTTGGTTGAATTAAAGATGATTGCGTATATAAAGATGTCCCGATGCGCAGGTCATCCCCATGGACGACCTGAACCTGCACCTGACCGGAGACATGCACGCCGTGACTGCTGCCAACAACCTGCTGGCGGCTCAGCTGGACGCTCGCATTTTGCACGAGACGACGCAGCAGGATGCCGCCCTCTTCGGACGCCTCGTGACTCCCCGCCAGGGAGCCAAGTGCTTCTCCGAGTCGCAGCGCCGTCGGCTGGCCAGGCTGGGCTTGCCCGTCGATGCAAATCCCGAAGACCTCACCGCCGAGCAAGCCGCACGCTTCGCTCGTCTCGATGTGGACGTTAACAGCATCACCTGGAACAGGGGTATTAGGCTTCTGCTAACGAACATTACGATCACACATAGGCTTGCGCACAAGGAAACAATGAGTGGGAAAAGGTGGGGAAGTTTTCCACACAGTATTATTCAATCGTACCATGCAGTCCCGCGAATAAAGTCCAGAGTTAAAGCCTGATCACACGTATGCGTCGCAGCGCACGGCTTGTAGGTTTAGCTTCGCGCACTCTTCTTCTGGAGAGAGCGAGAGAATGCGCAGCTTCATTGTAGCCGTTCGCCCTCTCCCTCCGTAGGGAGAGGGCGCGGCACCAAGTCTTCACGGCATGCGTGGCAATGCGTGTATGTAGTCAGGCCTCTAGATCCATGAAGGTTTTTGACAACGGGGACGGAGAAGCCCTAGTATTGCATTCCAAGAACACTTTACATCCCTATAGAGCTGGAGACGATAGAGGGCAGGCCGTTGTTAAAGTAAGCCATGGCTTCGTTTGCTTTCTTTTTGTCTAACTTGTCCGAAAAGGGGTGAGCGTTGCAGCGAAGGTTGCTCCCCCCCCCTCTAATGTAGGACTCTGCACACACCGTTGGTCCCTAAGTCTAAAGGATTAATGGAAGTTTTTGAACACGAACAGATGAACGACAAAAATTCACGTGACAATAAGAAAAAAAATACAACTTGAAATCTGCGATGCCACGCGCAGAGATTCTGTCACGAAATTGTAAAATAAGTCATTTTCTTTCACAGTATAAACCATATGATGCTACAACTAACCTCACTACAGTTTTCAGAGTACAATTTATGGAGCTGAACCGGTTCATTCTTGCACCTTGAATTTAGTGTTCATTTAAAGATAATGGGAATTTCACTTAATCTAAATAAAAGGGGTGGAGATTTGTTGTTGAAAACCGAGAGTGTGTGGCTCTTATTAAATGCTCTCCGCAGTGATGGACACCAACGACCGCTTCCTTCGTCGCATAACGATTGGCCAGGGACCAGCAGAAAGCAAGGCAACACGACAGGTACGTCTTCATCGTGGGCCGACATTACATCTGTGCTTCAATGGCTTATTCTTCATTACTTGATGTCAACAGTTCTCGCACAAGAACCGCTCAGGTTCAACCTTTGTTATCACTTGTCTTCGTAATCCTCGTAACCCTTCTGTTATTTTGTAACTTGATTGCCAAATTCCATTACAGCCTGGAGAATCACAGGAAATAGAAAAATTGCATCATGTAGCTATAGAGGTCATTACCAAAGTCATATGGTCAACGGCTATGCTTTTGCTGAAGCAGACGCGATTTTTTTTTAGTTTTAGATATATCGGCTGTATAGCTAACAGGTTCATACAGCCTTAAGAACGGGACCATCAATTTCTTGCTTTCAACGGCAAACTGACTATATTCTACAAATTCACATTTTGAATGTGATCTGTATATGCAGGGTCATCATGTACCTTCCTCAGCGCATTTGAAGGCACACTAGAGTACGTGAACCACTGGTCAATAAACTTTATCTTAGTCCCTTAGCGTGTGCCATATGTGAAAGCGTGAGCTGTCAGTTGATGCGTATATGCACGCACTTTTGCAGACCCAGTTTGACATCACGCCAGCCAGCGAAGTGATGGCCGTCCTAGCACTGGCCAAGGACATGGAAGACCTTCGGGACAGATTGCGAGCGATCGTTGTGGCCAGTGATCGCAAAGGAAATCCTGTTACAGCGGACGACCTGGTTCGTGCACACTGTTGGCTTTGAAGCTTTCAAATGGGCCATAAACCACTTTTATAGGTGATCATCGAATTACCTCAGCATCGGAGTTCATTGCCTCACGAATTGATTGCCGCAAAAATTTTCGAATTCGTCAAAAGATATAGTGAGAAAACATGCTTTGTCGCGATGTCTTTAGTCGCTTTCTCTTTCCTCTCGCCCCGACGAGCGTGCTGGAAGCTAAGCAGGGAAGGTTGGCGCCGAGGAAAGTCGATCACGACCTTGAGCTCTCTCATGAAATGCGATCACTCTCTCCCGCTGTGATACCGGTGCGCGAGCTTGGGTCACTGTGTAATGTAGGCAGACTATGGAGCATGGCGGCACCCCGTGGCAAGAAGCGCATATATGATCCAAACGCCACACTTGAATTATGGCCATTAGCCATTGGCCAATGACATGCTATCATTCTTGCTGTTCGAGGTTAAGCAGTAGGCGCCCACAGCTTCGAAGGGCGTGATCACATTGCTCGTTATAAAAAGAGGAGCCCGTGAAAATGGCAACTTAGAGCTCCACTTGTATATAAAAGCTGTCCAATTTCCATGCATCACTGCAAGATATGGCTGAGCTGTTTCATGGTGTATTTTCTCACCGACCCCAAGGAGTGGTTAATGACAAATGCTTTTCCGATGTGAGTGTGTGAAATGCGATGTTGAATCATTAATTGATTTACTCCCCGTGGCGTCGTGCAGGGTGCAGCGGGGGCCATGTTGGTTCTCCTGAAGGACGCCGCGTGTCCGACGCTCCTGCAGACGCTAGAGGGCACGCCGGTGCTCATCCACTGCGGCCCCTTCGCCAACATTGCTCACGGAAACTCGTCCGTCATCGCTGACCGGATGGCTCTGAAGCTTGTCGGTCCCAACGGATACGTCGGTAAGGCTACGCCGTCCTTTCGTGGCAGTGGGCTTGGTTTGCAGGGGCGTCGCCAGGGTTTTTGTTTGATTTCGTCTGCCACTCTACTTGCCATTGAAATCTTTATGTATTGCATGTGTAATGCACCCTTCAACAAGGAGTGTCGCATCATAGAGCCAACGTTTTGATAAGTGGTCTTCTCTTTCAAGGCTGCAATCATTGAGAAAAAGACACCACTGTGACAGGTTCAGTAAATAAAGCCAGTCGAGCTAGCTGTGAAACGTTAATCTCTCACGAGAAAAGGAAGTGAGCGTTTGATTTGCAAAAAAGAAATCATACTTTCACAAACACACAAAAAAACCACAAAAAGGAAAATACTAAGATCAGAAAAATGTTAACTAACTAGCACTGTCAGTTTCGTTAGCGAGCGGAAACCTCTAAGAGTCTAAACAGTCCTTTTCGTTAGAGTCCTCGTGTTTGAGTCCGGACGCGAGAGAAGACGGATACGGCTCACCAGCGGTTCACGCCCTTCAATAGTCCATTGGGGAAGCTGTGGTGGTGAGAGTGCATAAGCTCGGGCCCGTAGCCCGACGGCTTGCTCCCGCTCCCGGTAGACGTCATCTGCTGCGCTGTCTTCCGCTCGAACATCAGACCAAGGTCTTGCCAAGGATTCGCCAATAGCCGCTGCGGTTGAATGGTCACCAGGACCCCGTGGAAACAGTCGCCCGCTAGGTGGATGCCCTGACGCCCAGGAGGTACTCGCTCCCGACGAGGTCGCACGCCGCACCCTAGCCTTCTTCTTCCAAGCACGAGCCCGAATCTCCTCTTCCTCTTTCTTCGATGCCCTGGCTCTGGATTTTTCTCCCATTCCCTTGAATTTTCTTCTTTTTCCAATCGCCAGTGTTCGCCGCACTGGCGCAATACGCCATCTTGCACACATTGTCAGTAGTTCATCTTACGCGCCAAATTTGAAAGTCACTTGACTCGCGCACTTCACTCACAACAAGAGTCCCCCCTTTGAAAAGTTTCTTTTGCGAAGAAAAATAAACTGCAGTTCAGTGCGCGAGAAGTCACCACGCGTCGTCCATTCACAAGATGTCCTTAACAAACAAACAACTTGAAGTAGTCGCTTGTCTCGAGAAAACGTAAAAATTCACAACCGGCTCATATAATCTGCGCCGACATTTTCAGAGCCTCTAATGTGCTCGACTCGGAATGAATATTCTTGTAACGCGAGGCTCCACCGTAATACCCTACTGTTCAGGTGTTTTGCCCTTAAGAGATACTGCAGTGGTTGGTGATCGGTCTGTACGACAAATGACGTTCCGTACAGAAAAACATGATACTTTTCTATCGCCCAGACCAACGCTAAGCATTCCCTCTCGATTGCTGAGTATCTCTTTTCGCGAGGCTGAAGTTGACGACTGGCATATGACACAGGGTGGAGGATGCCATCATGCTCTTGCATAAGGATAGCGCCTATACAAGAATCAGAGGCGTCAGACCGAAGCACGAATTCTCTTTTCAGATCGGGTGCTTTGACGATTGGCCCAGAAGACAAAGCCTTTTTGAGTGATTCAAACGCTTCTTCTCTATCCGTGGTCCACGTAATCTTGTTTTTCTCCATCTTCCTCGTCATCTCAGTAAGCGGCTGTGCTTTCTCGGCGTACCGAGGTATCAGGTCACGGTAATAGCCAGCCAGTCCAAGGAATGACCGGAGTTGCTTCTTTGTTTCAGGCTTAGAAGCACAGGTGATCTTCTGTATCGTGCTTTCGACTGGCCGTATGTTGCCATCTCCCAATCGATGTCCCAAAAAGGTGACTGTGCTCATAGCCACTTCACATTTCTGTGGCTTGATCCTTAGTCCGGCTTGTCGTATCCTGGCAAAAAATTGCTTCAAAGTTGTTAGATGTTCTTCCCACGTAGTGGTAGCCACCAGTACGTCGTCTATGTAATGAACGACGTTGGGTATTCCAAGCAATAACTTTCTCATCAGACGAGTGAAGACCGCGGATGCGGTCTTGATGCCAAAAGGCATATACAGGAAATGATAATGCCCTGATTGGCTTGAAAAGGCGGTCTTTTGCTGCGAGTCTTTTGCGAGAGGAACCTGCCAATATCCTTTAGTTAAATCAAACTTCGAGAACCATTTCTTTGTTCCCACTTCGGCAAACAAGTGATCAGTTCTGGGTATAGGTTCTGCATCAGATACCAGAACATTGTTTATACGGCGAAAGTCTATACAGGCCCTGTAGCCATTGTCTGGCTTTTTGACTAGTACCAAAGGAGAATTATATGGTGACTCTGAGGGTTCTATAATGCCAAGTTGCAACATGTCTTGCACTTCCTTTTCAACGACTTCCTTCATAGAGAATGGCAATGGGTATTGTGGGGTGTTAACTGGTTCTGAACTGGTCGTTTGTAACCGACACTCCACAAGGTTTGTTTTACCTGGGATCTCCGAGAATACGTCTTCGTAGGTACTTAAGATGTCCCGTATCTCCACCCGCTGTCGCTCCCCGATTTCATCTCCAAGCTTTATGGAGTCAATACCGCAGCTACCCTGTACTTTGAAAGTTGGTAGTGGTTTCTCAGACTCCTCTTCCTCCAGAACGACAAAAGATGATGTCTGAGGAAGCTGTTCTTCACGGCGTTCTTCATACTTTTTCAGCATGTTTATGTGGAAAAGTTTTTTGCTGTGTCCAAGGTCCAGCCAGTAGTCATAGTCGTTTTTCTTTTCTATGACTGGAAACGGCCCTTTCCAATGCATCAATAACTTGTTGTTGCTTGTGGGAAGCAAGATCAGTGCACGGTCACCAGCTTTCAGGTCCCGTTGCTTGCTGTGGCGGTCGTAATACCTTTTCTGCGACACCTGTGCTCGGCTCAGGTTTTGTCGTACCAGCTCTAGTGTCTTCTCAATTCGCTCTCTTAAATCCAGGACATATCCGTACGTCGTCTTAAGTTCTTCGTTCTCCTGATCATGAGTCCATAGCTCTTTCAGGATGCTCAGAGGTCCTCGAATATGTCGGCCATAAATAAGTTCAAATGGTGAGAACCCGGAGCTTGCTTGTGGGGCTTCACGATAAGCAAACAAAAGAGGTGCTAGCAAGCGATCCCAACATTTAGGCTGTTCTTGAACCATTTTGCGGAGCATTTGCTTGAGTGTTCCATTAAACCTCTCTACCATCCCGTTGCACATAGGATGGTATGGAGTGCAGCTAAGATGCTTGACTGCCAGTAGTTCATTCACCTCCTTCATTAGATCTGAGGTAAAGCACGATGCCTGATCAGCCAAGACTTCTCGTGGAAAACCAATGCGAGAAAACATCTCGACAAGTCCCTCGGCCACTGTAGCTGAGTCAATTGCTGTCAAAGGCACTGCATCAGGGTAGCGAGTGGCGAAATCCACAAGAGTCAAAATATACCGATGGCCTTTTGCCGAGGCTGGAGTTATCGGTCCAATGATGTCGACCGCCACACGTTCAAAAGGGGTGTCGATCAACGGCATACGCCCTAGAGGCACCTTGCCCACCTTGCCTTTCGGTAAAGTCCTTTGACAGGCGTCACATGATCGGACATATCTGCGGATATCTTCTTGTACCCCGGGCCAGTAGAAGGCGTCCAGAACTCGATCTATTGTTTTTTTTACACCCTGATGACCTGACATGACATTTTCATGAGCCAAACGTAACACTTGGCCTCTCAGGGACTTCGGGACTATGGCTTGTTCAATGATCTTACCAGGGGACAGGAAGTATTGTCGGTAAAGAATACCATTCTTGGCTACGAAAGAAAAAGATGTCGAGCCCTTTCTAACAAACTTCTTACCCACTCTGGCTCTGCAGATGTCAAGTGTCTGGTCTTTTTCTTGTTCTTCGCGAAACATTTTGCGAGACATCTGGCCAGGGAGCCCAACAGAGATGGCCCTTCGCGAACTATTGAGACGTGCGGCACCAACCAGTTGAGAATTTGGGTGGTTACCTTCGTCCGCAGAATGAACTTTTTTCTTAATGAATTGATCTTGAGAAAGTTTCCGCGAAACGTCGGGGTCATTGGCGTCACGGGCCCCCGGTACGTTCCCAACTATGACGTCATACAGTGGCGACGGCATACACTTGACGATGGCCATGCCGGAAAAGTATGGAGATCTGATACGTATCTCCGCCTCAGGGGTTACGATGGTGCTGCCATCAGCCAACCACAACGTCGCGGTAGTGCCAGTTAGTGCTTCATCAGGTACTAATGACCGGCGTACTACCAACGTGTTGCTTCCGGTGTCCCTTAGGACTCGAACAATTTGTCCATTCACTTGCCCTGGTAACACTGGCATGGGACGTTTCTTACATTGCGCTTGCGTCTTCACCGTGCCCATAACATTGTCGTCTCGGTCCGAGTCGTCGCCATCAATCATGGATTGTTGTGGACCGGACTCTTCTTTGGGTAGCATTAAACAAGATGTAGTTGATTTCGAAGTGCCAGTCATTTTCTGACAGCCCTTCACATCATGCCCCCACTTACGGCAGTTTGTACAAAATACTTGTTTAGGTTTACTTCGACAGTCAGAAGCCTTGTGCCCCTTACGGCCACAAACAAAACATTGCATCTCTGCTCTTGGGCTTGAAATCAATTTAGCCTTCCCAGTTGTGTCCTCACTCTTATTCTGAACTATTAATAAGTTCTTCAATCTCTTTGCCTCTATATATATATCAGCTGCCTCTGCCATGGCTTCCAGAGTCTTGCAGTTCTTCTCCCGTAAGAAGAGCGCCAGCTGACTACTGCAGTTCGCCATGAATTGTTCGGCTACAATCAAGTCACAGACTGAATCGAAATTCCTCTCTGTCTGAGACATTTCTATCCACCTGTCAAAGAAACTTTGGAGTCTCGTGGCATACTGTTTTCCAGTTTCGCCGTCTTCAGGCTTGCTTTTCCGGAATTTCTCACGGTAGCCATCAGCCGTGAAGCGAAAACGCTGGAGCAGTGCCAATTTGACTTCGTCGTATGACAGGGAATCGTTCGGTGACAACCGTCCAAATACCTTCAGAGCCTCTCCGCCAAGGCACAAACTAAGAGCCGTGGCCCACTTTTCCCGTGGCCAATCTTGACCTGTCGCCACTCTCTCAAACCTTTTCAGGTAGGCGTCAAGGTCGTCTCTGTCCTCGTTGAAAACGGGTATAAAGTTATGCGGGTTCACTACCATAGGCGCGTTCCTTTGGTTGCCCGTGTCAGCCACCATAGGCTGACCGACACCGGCCTCAGCTACTCTCAGGCGCAGTTGCAGCGTCCTCTCTTCTACTTCCAAGTGTCGCTGGCTTGCTTCTCGGGTTTGGTTCTCCGTTTTTGCTACTTCAAGACGTAGCTGTAAATTGCGGCCTTCCAGCTCCAACTGTTCTTTCTTCGCGTCTCTCTCCGCGGCTCGTTCATCGCGCTCACGCGCTTCTCGTGCGTCAAACCAAGCCTGCAATTCTGCTCCCTCCAACCCCATGCGTTCTGCCAGCGCCATCAACTCTCGCGAGCCCATTTTACTTTTTTAGTTAGCCTTACTCAAATCTACTTTTTAGTGGCAAACACTCACGTCCTGTCGTAGCGGACGCCAATTTGTGACAGGTTCAGTAAATAAAGCCAGTCGAGCTAGCTGTGAAACGTTAATCTCTCACGAGAAAAGGAAGTGAGCGTTTGATTTGCAAAAAAGAAATCATACTTTCACAAACACACAAAAAAACCACAAAAAGGAAAATACTAAGATCAGAAAAATGTTAACTAACTAGCACTGTCAGTTTCGTTAGCGAGCGGAAACCTCTAAGAGTCTAAACAGTCCTTTTCGTTAGAGTCCTCGTGTTTGAGTCCGGACGCGAGAGAAGACGGATACGGCTCACCAGCGGTTCACGCCCTTCAATAGTCCATTGGGGAAGCTGTGGTGGTGAGAGTGCATAAGCTCGGGCCCGTAGCCCGACGGCTTGCTCCCGCTCCCGGTAGACGTCATCTGCTGCGCTGTCTTCCGCTCGAACATCAGACCAAGGTCTTGCCAAGGATTCGCCAATAGCCGCTGCGGTTGAATGGTCACCAGGACCCCGTGGAAACAGTCGCCCGCTAGGTGGATGCCCTGACGCCCAGGAGGTACTCGCTCCCGACGAGGTCGCACGCCGCACCCTAGCCTTCTTCTTCCAAGCACGAGCCCGAATCTCCTCTTCCTCTTTCTTCGATGCCCTGGCTCTGGATTTTTCTCCCATTCCCTTGAATTTTCTTCTTTTTCCAATCGCCAGTGTTCGCCGCACTGGCGCAATACGCCATCTTGCACACATTGTCAGTAGTTCATCTTACGCGCCAAATTTGAAAGTCACTTGACTCGCGCACTTCACTCACAACAACCACTTATAGACCACTTCACGACAGCATGCGGGATCTTTGCTACTTCGAAGAAAACAAGAGCACTTGTAAAAACATTGGCTGCAGCGTCAAGCCATCTTCAAGCCTCCATTTTTTCTAAACTTCTGTTACAGGGACAGATATGCATAACGAGAGTTGTCTCCCATCTCCGCCTACACCCTTGAACAATATTTCTTGCTACGCACCTGGTTTTATACCTTAGCTCGTTTTTTTTATCGCTGTCCTTTACACCTTCTATGTATTAACGTCCAAATAATTACACGCTCAGATTTCAGTGGCCTTGAGGTCGATAAACGTTTGCAGCGTCCACGCAATCGACAAGAAGCAGGCTGGTGCAATGGTGGGGGGCATGACGATGATCTTTGACTTGCATTTGCTGCTAGTTCGTCAATCCCACAAGACTATAGATACCTTGAGCAAGATAATACACGGATATAGAGGTGGTTATGAAGCTAAGAATAAATTGCCTGAGCGGAATACTAGTGCATGCTGGTTTCTTTTCGAACCATAAGTACTTCATGCTAACATAAATGTGGCGCAAATAAATACTGAAAGCTCGTCATTCCTGCTCAAAATGTGATCGTTGGCTAAGCAGTGATGTCGAAATGTCTGATGAAATTCGCCAGGGCATTCAAATTCGGACTAAAAATCAGCGACGCTAGTCAACATGCTACCTAAAACTGCAGGCCGAAGCACGGAGGGAAGGCTGTATTCTGGAACTTCGGGAGGGTCGAAGCACGCAGCGTTCCGAGAGAGATTTCTTTGATGAAGCGTGCCAAGCAAACCGGGCGTGTAGGGAAGGGTATTTCTGCTCCACTATACGTCGTCGGAAAACTGCGTCGGTATGCAGCTTATACTTAAAGTTGGGTGGTGGCTGTTGTTGTGACCTAGGTTGCAACAACAACCCACTCAGTAGGGTGGTGCTTTTTGAGGCGATTTGTTGGGCTAACTGCTGCCTTCTTCATTTTCAGTGAACCGAAGGCGAGTAGTGGAATTTACGCAATATTCGTGGCCCATACCTGTTTTATAATGAACCGCACCTGACTATACATGACACACCTTGACAACATTAGACACCAACAAGGCGAGACAAGGCACACCGGTAGAAAGCGCCTTACGTAACGGAACTGAGCATACATCTGTGCGAATTCTCTGTGGGTAGAGAGTTGCGGCATTGGGTGAAGCTTAGGTTGTAAAATACTCTGCGCAGTGACCGAGGGCGGCTTCGGCGCCGACAACGGCATGGAGAAGTTCGTGGACATCAAGTGCCGGGCGTCCGGCCTGTCGCCCAGCGCCGTCGTCATCGTGGCCACCGTGCGAGCTCTGAAAGTTCACGGCGGAGGGCCCCTGGTGAGCACTATAGAAAACCTACAGTATAACCGCGATTATGATTAAATCCCTCTAGAAGCGCAGAAACCTCCATATAGCCGCGTACAGGGGTACCGCAAGTTCATCGAATGCATATGAAATGATTCTGACCAACATTGATGTTAACGAACATCGCTTATAACAAAGGTGTTCTTTCGAAGCGAACGCCCCACTGATAGCGTTGCGCTTATTCGCATACTACTACCATAACAATTAGCACAGGTTCGCAATACATGTCAACGTTCGAAGGGGCAGTTTTGAGAATGTTCGCTAAAGTCTGCATGCTACAGTGTTACTGCACGGTCGCTATACATACATACATACATACATGTGTGTGTGTGTGTGTGTGAGTGTGTGTGTGTGTGTGTGTGTGTGTGTGTGTGTGTGTGTGTGTGTGTGTGTGTGTGTGTGTGTGTGTGTGTGTGTGTGTGTGTGTGTGTGTGTGTGTGTGTGTGTGTGTGTGTGTGTGTGTGTGTGTGTGTGTGTGTGTGTGTGTGTGTGTGTGTGTGTGTGTGTGTGTGTGTGTGTGTGGTGTGTGTGTGTGTGTGTGTGTGTGTGTGTGTGTGTGTGTGTGTGTGTGTGTGTGTGTGTGTGTGTGTGTGTGTGTGTGTGTGTGTGTGTGGTGTGTGTGTGTGTGTGTGTGTGTGTGTGTGTGTGTGTGTGTGTGTGTGTGTGTGTGTGTGTGTGTGTGTGTGTGTGTGTGTGTGTGTGTGTGTGTGTGTGTGTGTGTGTGGTGTGTGTGTGTGTGTGTGTGTGTGTGTGGTGTGTGTGTGTGTGTGTGTGTGTGTGTGTGTGTGTGTGTGTGTGTGTGTGTGTGTGTTCCTCAGTGCACCTCAGTGTTCGAGAACCTTCGCGTTTCTTATAGATGATTTTGTTAAGATTGTGCACGGACACTCAATATTATTCCAGACCTTGTGTGACCACCAGCGATAACGCTGCAAAGTTCGACGCGGGAGGTATAATAAAAAACGGCGCGTCACACTGATAATCAGTTGATTGACAACCGACGCTCAATGTACATCACTTTCCGAAGCCCTCCACTAAGGTGTCTCTCGTAATCATATGGTGGTTTTGGGATGTTAAACACAACATGTCAATCAATCAGTGTGCATCGCTGTAATCTGACTACCGTTTACCGGTCACAAGTTCGACCAAATAAATAGTTTCATTTTAGACAAGCCGTCTCTTCCTTCAGCGTCACGACCTTGTGACAATAGTATGTGTCATTGTTTATGCGAACACAACACTCATACATGCTGGGAACGCTGCGCGCCATGTTCTAGGCGTCATACATAGAAAAACCATGCATTGCGCATAGCCACGTATGCATAACCACGTATGGTGTAGAACAGCTAGCAGACGGGCAAGGGAAGTGAGAGTGAGGTGGTGGAAAATAAGAAGTGGCAGTTTAAAACATAGCATAGCCGTTTAATGTATACAGGATATGGTATAGCAAGGTGCAGAGTACACAGGGGAAGTGAGGGTGGATAGGAGGGGAAGGATAGGGCAGCATAGGCATGTACAGTACAGCTAGATGGCGGGAAATGGAAAGGAAGGCGATAGTAACGTGGGTTGATCAGGGCAAAGGGCGTCACGGCATCACAACTAAAGGTTCCCTTTCCCCCCCTCCGACGCCGAGCTAGCTACATGATTGCGACGCCAGCATCGCCAAGGGCAGGCGAATCACTGCCCTGCACTTCCCACGGCTTTCACGTCGAGTGCGACTGCTCATACATCATGTTTTTCTGCTTTGATGTTGCAGATTGCACTAGGTGCCCCGCTGCCGGCTCAGTATCGCACCGAGGACTTGTCCCTGGTGCGCAGCGGCTTCTGCAACCTGGCCCGCCACATCGAGAACGCGGCCAAGCTGGGCCTGCCTGCCGTGGTGGCCATCAACGCCTTCTCGACCGACACTGCGGCCGAGCTCGAGCTCGTGCGCGAGATGAGCGTGGCCGCTGGCGCCCAGGGCGCCATCGTGTGCCGTCATTGGGAACTCGGAGGAGAAGGAGCCGTAGACCTGGCGCGCGCCGTCGAAGAAGCATGTGCGAAGCCCAGACCCCAGGTATTCTTCCGCACACGCCAACACAGCCGCTCTTGTTCTTTGCCTGCTCCGTCGTTCCTCCCTGCATTCGAGGAAATTTGACATCGGATGTTAATCTAAGTATATAGCACATAACGTAGCACAGGAACGCCGTCATGTTGAAGAGGCACTACGTTAAGAATCTGCGTCCATGACATCGCGTGCAGGTTACATGATGCGTATTTCAGCCTAACCGCTTCTCAGCAGCTTGCATGTGTTGCAGAGAGTTCTGCTCGATAATATTTACCGAGTGGCCATGGTTCTGCCTCGCTTCTTATTAATTTTATGATGTATCTAAGTTAGCTAAAGTGGCGTATCCTAATTGTTATTTTATTGCGCTGTTTGTTTGCTGTTGTGAAGTATTCCATCATGTTTACCATATATAGTTATCTGGAGTTTACCAGCTGTATATATCATGATTCCTCTCTGCGCAGCTGCGCTTCTCCTACGACCTTTCACTGAGCATCGAGTCCAAGCTCGAAGCCATTGCCCGCACCATCTACGGCGCCCGCTGCGTGGAGCTCAGCCCGCTGGCCAAGACTCAGGCCGAACGCTTCGAGCGCCAGGGCTACGGCAAAATGGCCGTGTGTATAGCCAAGACGCCGCTGTCGCTATCGCACGACCCGAAGCTGCTTGGCTCGCCGCGCGACTTCGTGCTGCCCGTGCGCGAGCTGAGGCTCAGCGCTGGCGCGGGCTTCGTGTACGCGCTGGCTGGCGACGTCACCACCATGCCCGGCCTCCCGACGAGACCCGCGCTGATGGACATCGACCTGGACGTTACCACAGGACGTCCGATCGGCCTCTTCTAGACGAGAATCTCAGATACACATCAATCGAAGATTATGCTCAGATGTTCAGCTGATTCGAAATGTGCCTGTGGCCGCGTGAAAATGCAGAAGATGTGTTACCTTATGCCTTGCGGCACTTCCAGTTTCCGTCGATGTGAACCAAAGGCATAGGCAGGTGCCCGGCTACCCTGATATTTTAGCATTGGTTGGACTGTAGGCACGACTGAGTAATAGGATGGGGCAGACATTGCACACTCCACCCCTTGATTGATTGTGGGAGGGTTGTTTCCCTTCCTTCCACTGCCCCCTTGAGAACGCCCATGCGTACTATTGCCACTGCAGTATTTACAGATTCTGTAGATATGACCCGAAGTGGGTGTATACCTCAACAGTCAGTCCGCCAAATTCGATTTTCTTGTATACAGAAAATAACATCCACGTAAAAGCTGCTCCACAGTAAAGATCTCCAGCCCTGGGCTACCGTCCTCGTTCTAGCAGCACATGCTGGAAAAATGGCGCAGAACATTTGTTGAATTTTGAACAGATGTTTAGGCAAATAACGCGAATATGGACATGACATCTTCACATGGTCAGACTCAAGGAACGCTAAGATAAGTTTTCTTTTCGGGAACATTTGATAAAAAAGAAAACATGTATTTTTGTGAGATGTATTTTCTACGACCATACCGATTTATTTTGTTTCGAATTGTGGACATTGAATAAAGAGGAGCCTTTTTCAATACACCTTTCCTATACAAGAGGAAATTTGCCCAAACATTAGCGACGTGGTTTCTTTTATATAGAAGCAGTGTGTGCCCCGCCGTTGTAGTCTAGCGGTCAAGGCACTCGGCTGCTCACCTGCAGGTTGCGGGATCGAATCCCGGCTGCGACGGCTGCATTTTCGATGGAGGCGAAAATGCTTTGCGTGCAAGTTAAAGAGCCCCAGTTGATCGAAATTTCCGGAGCCCCCCACTGCGGCGTCTCTCATAATCATATGGTGGTTTTGGGACGTTAAACACCAGGTATTATTATAGAAGCAGTGTGCTTATATATGACAGTTTGCATGCATTGCAAAGCACCTCTTTGTTTTCAGCGTTACGTCAGTCGACCATCGCGGTAGAGCCATCATCAACGCGCTGGAAAAGACAAAGCAGTAAGTACACGAGCGTCGCCGCTGCCCAACGAGAACGCCGGACGCTTGGACCTAGCCGCAAAAAGGAGTATGCGTACTCTTTTCGCCGTCGCGGTGCGTAGGCTCCGCCCGGCACAAAGCTCGGTGCAACCCTATATCATCACGTGACCACTAGCAATGTGCGTCGGGGAGCCTCTCACTTATCACGTGATCATTGAGGGGGGTGACGAGCTTAGAGCTGGGCGGAGCAACGCGCCGCGACGTCGCCACAAGCGCCTCAGTATGTCGACGGTGCCTACCCCTGCTTACGAACATAGAATAGGCCTATGAGATCTTCTTGAAGATACACGCAACACGTCAACTCGCGATTGAGCATTCCGACTGCGGCTTCAGAGAGTTCACGCGTCTCTTTCAAGAGGCATATTCGTGACAAGCGACGACATGAAGAAAAGTCGAATGACTTTTCTTTTTCCGAAAGCGCAGAGTTTGTGAGAGGGGGGGGGGGGGGTCATTTTGTATACTAATCAAACTGTTCGCATAAAAACAGCACCAAAAACGGAGGACAATAAAAAAAGGAGGGAGACAGCGGCATTGTCTGTTTTTATGTGAATAATGTCATAACAACTTGCCCAAGCAACCATTTTAGCTAATTCCACTCCGGCGCGCCCAAGGGGAGGAAGAGGCCGCTGGACGCCTCTTACCGATCCGTGCGCGCCCCATACACTGAATTAATATACAGGAGAAGGCGCTAAAGCCCCATTGGACAAATAGACCAGTAAATGAATCAATGAATTAGCTATGCGGCTTCCCGGTTATGGAAATGATGCGGCAACTTCCTCTGCAAAGTTAAACACACACACACGCGCACGCACGCACGCACTGAGCTCCTCTACCAACAACCTATTTTTTGTCGCTTATCGAGCTGTTTTCGATAAAACGAACAGTGCCTTCACTGGGATTAAACGCTGTCCCAGGATTTGCTTATTGGATGGGGTAACCCACGACCATTACGTGCCCACGACAAATCAGCTGGTTCTTCGAGGACGGGAGGAGAGGACGTTTGTTTTGTGGTTTGACTATCTTTGATTTTAGGGGTGCGAAAAATTTTTGAGGGGCCTGAAATGGGTGGGGGGAGGGTGGATGACATCGAAGAGAGAAATTGCAAGAAAACTTCAGTTTAAAAATGGCGCCTATGTAAAACGGAAGTGACGCATTGCGTTGCTGGGTCGCTCAACATGTGGTTCCTGTGAGCGGTAAGTTTTGCCGCTTTTGCTTCAACGGTGCGTTCTTGGCGAACTTTCACCGACTGCTGGTACTGCTGCTGCTTATGTTTCCCACCTGTAAATTGCGGTGAACGTTCTGGCTGAAATGGAGTCGGAGGTAGCCTCCCTACGCGCTGAACTGGAAGCAAAAGACGCTGAAATACAGAGACTTCGCCGGGCATTGTCGTGCGAACAGGTAACGTCGCACTTTTAGTTTCGTTCAACGCTTCTAATACGCACTTTCTTATGTGATTGTAGGCTCTTGCGGGTGTGATTGACGCAGCTTTGAACAAGGACGATGTGTCGCGTTACAGCAGGCAGATGTTGCTGCCCGGATTTGGCGTCCAAGGTACTTGCTCTACCAAATACTTGCGAGTAGTATCGGCATCTAGCTCTTCTTTTCACGACACTGAATTTCTACAACTGCGAACCCGAGCCGTTTTGGAGTGGCAGTGCTAACAGTTATACTTTCCTTTGCAGGGCAGAAAGCGCTGAAGTCTGCGTCCGTGCTAATCGTCGGCGCTGGTGGTTTGGGATGTCCATGTGCGGCGTACTTGGCTGCTGCAGGTGTTGGTATGTTGTGCCTTATTTGCAGCATAAAGCCACGCGCACTCATTAGGCTCAGTAATGAAGTATACAGATAGGTTCATCAACGAGTGATCAGTAGACTCGTTCTGCCTTTCTGGAAGCAGGTTTTCCGTCAAAACAGAAGCCTGCTGTAATGCTTCTCAGAGCACAAATATGATGAATGGATGACATATGTTACTGAAGGTTAAATCATTCGAGCCTTCTATTGCCATCTTTAGAAATTCGGCATTGCAGTCGCCTACTGTCCAAAATTTGTACACCCCTCCCACCCTAACGTCTCTTCCCCCCAAATTATTCCTGACCAACCCACCCGGCCTCCTAGACAGCGCCACTTTCCCGCCCTATAATTCTGGTTACACCCCTCTAATATCTAAATTACAGATAAACTGGTGGCAGTGGCTTTGTGCTACAGTATCAGACAGTAGAGTGCACATGTCATTGCTCTCTGTTGTTTAGATATGTGCATTTAAAATTATACTCACAACAATGAGCGGCTGAGGGTAGTCCAGTATCGGTCCGGTTTAAATAAATGTGTCATATATGCACAAGGTTTCCATGTAAACTTCTTCAAGCAAAATAACAGCTCCAAAATAATTTATCAAATGATTATCCGATTAAGTTACGGTATACGAATTTGTAAATGCAACCTGCTTTTCACCAGCTCTGTCCGTTCGAGGAAAGAAGCTAACCATTGATATTTAGGTGAGGTGAACTGAGGCCTCTAGTTTCTCGCTATATTGAGTCCTGCAACACGACCACATAGCTGAATTGCTGCTATGTTTTATAAGATCGAAGTGCTGCATTACTTTAGACGATGCTGAAAGTATTTTCTTTTCTGTCGCATGCCCTAAACTAACAAGGAAGTTTAATTATGTTCCTTAAATCAGCCATTCAGGTATTACCCCTAAATAAATGCAACATGAATCCCTACCTGCTTTCTAACATGTCTCTGAATTATGAGGACTCGCTAAACAATGCAAGATCATACCACATTAAATTTCCTTGGCTGTCTAATGTCTTGTAATAAAGTGATGCAAGCTTGATGCACTTATTGACAGTGCATCATAATTTATGACTCAAGGAGCTTTGACGTACCATTTTCAAACCTTGCCACTTTTGGTGATGCTACTTTGTTTCATACCTATTCACATGTTTATTAAGTTGTGCTGCCCATGACGACACAGCTGCTTCATGTTTCAGGTAAAATAGGAATTGTGGATTTCGACGTCGTGGAAAAAAGCAACCTCCACCGACAGATCTTGCACTCTGAGGCCAAGGTGGGCCTGTCCAAAGTAGATTCTCTGGTGATTGCTCTGAGGGAGTAAGTTTTATGAAGAAGATTTACTGCACCATTCTCTCTGCTGCTTGTCATTAGTGTTTGCAAGGCAGTTGTACCATTCATTCCCAGGATTTAGAGACACATGCAATTGTCACCGTATCTTTCAATTAAAAGTGAAATGCAGTAAAATTATAGTCAATGAACAAAACCAGTTACCAAAATTGATGCATGCTTCTACATAGTAGGGGCCCATCGCAACATTTTTGTGAATGTTCTAGTAGCGCGACACAAGGTACGTGGGATCCCAGGACATGTTAACACCTTGCAAGGCTATGTTAAAATGTCCTGAGAACTTGCTTGGCTTGCGGTGTAATTACGGATTCTTAACAGAATGTGCCAGGGTATCTCTACTATGTGGAACTGAGAGTCAGTTTTGCGAATGGGATTTGTTCATCAGATATGAGTTTTCTTCACATAATTCTTGTTAAGTTGCTGTGGGGCACTGCAGCCAAGAGGTGGTACCATGTGCGCAAGTTCCCAAGCCCTGTTTGGCTTTTCCAAACTTGGAGCAATTTTTTATTAGCTCACTGGTGTGCCAATGTTGTTTGTATTGTTTAGTGGTGGGCTGTTACTATGTTGCAAGATGTACAGACTGTCGTTTCTTGAGTAATGATGTGGAGGAGTAATGGTATGCTGCCTGCTGGCCCCTGAGGGGTGATGCTCCTACGCTAAGCGGGGCTTGCATTCTATTTCGGCAGGAACAGGTCATGTCATTCTTAAGATAGTGAATTACTTTTTGAGGTGTGCATATCTTAGGTGGAAGTATTCAATGCAGGGTGAAATAATAACTTATGACACTTTCCTGATGTTAATTTTCAACACATAAACAGATTGAGGGGGCTGTAAGTGAGCACAATAAAAAAATTTGATCCTTGTGGCAATGAAAAGAGTTTTAAGCTGCTAAATGCTGCATCTCCTAGTTGTAGGGCACATTAGGAGAGGGATAAAGGGTATTTCTTTTTGTTAGAAACAATTACTTTTTTTCTTTGTGCCAAAATTGTGCAGGCTCCCAAAATCTAAAGATAACTACTTAGTATATCTGCATGCCACAATTAACTTAATGAAACTTATAAAAGTTAGCTTTACAGAAGCACATAATCATCAATTCTAACATGTTTGTGATTAGTTGGCTGTTAATTATTCAGATTTGGGTATATATATGAAGTTCTTTAAAAAAGGGTGCATACTCGTAGCAGCAACCTCTTCTATTTGCATATAGTCCTTCCTTACTTCATAAATTGTTTGTTTTGTATTTATCTTGCATTAATTTCTCTGCACCAAACCAACAACTTATTATTGGAAGAGAACGATTTTTCAAAGGGCTCAATTACAATATTCTGCATATGCAAATTGGATGATGCAGCAGCAAATCCTGCTGCTTCATCCAAGCATGCTAGTTGTGGTGAAACATCACAGATTTTTTAGCTACTATCAATGATCATTGTGTCCTTGCTTTGTTTCTGTAGGTTGAACTCTCAGCCAGAGTACGTCCGACACTCGGCAGTCCTTGAAAGCTCCAATGCCTTGGACATCATTGGCAGGTCTGGAAGCCTCTTATCATTGTGTAAGATGGAATAAGAGAGAATGTACTGACTACAGCTTGCATTTTCGATGGAGGCGAAAATTCCGTAAGCCCGAGTGCTCAGATTTGGGTGCACATTGAAAAAACCCAGGCGGTCGAAATTTCCGGAGCCCTCCACTACGGCGTCTCACATAGTCATATGGTGGTTTTGGGATGTTCAACCCCACATATCTATCAATCAATCAGTATGTGACGTTCTGGAAGCAGGCTTTACCACGCTATAGGAAGTTGCTTATTCTAACGAGGTGGTCAATGTTCTGTACATAGCTGCATTTAGGTGAGGATAAGCTCAAAAACAGGGAAGGTAAGAAAAGAATGCAGGAAAGATAGTGCGCACTCATAGGAACACTAAAGAGGAACAGTGACTTGGTTTAGATCGACAAACAGCACTCTGAGAACTCTAATGCCATATGTTTCACTATCATAAATTCATTATTAGAAGAGCAAAGAAAGGTTGAAGTTTCATGTTTAATTTGCATGCCAAAATTTCCGCGCAAAATTTTAATATGCATTTTTGGTGTTTTCGTGGCATTGGCTGAATGAAATTTTCTTAAACTTCATATATTAAGTCCACGACACCCACAGATTACAATGTGCTTATTTTTATTGATTAGAAGCTACGTCAGACACTCTAGACACCATCAAAATTTTGGTGTTTCGTGTAGGAATCTCAAGGTGGCGTCGCCACCCACATTTTCTTTTCGCGGGTTTTCTCACTTACTAATTGTCGTGTTGTGGAAAGAGTGGCATTTTTGTGATTGGGAAATTATACTTTACTATACGCGAAAAATTGTTTTACACTGTAGTGTTCCTTTAAGTCCACGTCTAAAACAATAGCCTGCCATTTTTTTGTGGAACTATTTATGTACATAGTTTTAAAAACCTGCCGTGAAGTTTCTCTTTTTGATTGATTAATTGATTGACTGAATCGATCAGAAAGTTGCATGAAGTAGGGCTGTAGAATTTCCTGCTTGTCCATTGCTTAAAAATTTTGAAGGGCTGATACAACTTTTGTTTGCCAGATTATTTATTTAAACTATTTCAGCAGTTCTAGGAGTGCCATGCTTGCACATTATTGCTATGATTTATGAGGACTGCTGTCAGACTTGACGAGTTCAGCTTTGCAGGTACCAGGTTGTGGTGGATGCCAGTGACAACGCAGCCACCCGGTACCTGGTCAATGATGCGTGCGTACACCTGGGCCTCCCACTGGTGTCGGGCAGTGCTCTGCGCTGGGAGGGACAGCTGACGGTGTATGGGTACCGTGGCGGTCCCTGTTATCGATGTCTCTTCCCACAGCCACCGCCCACGTCCACCGTTACCAATTGCTCGGAGGGAGGCGTCATAGGCATGGGCACGTGCAACCTGTTATTACCTGATATTAGAGGAAATATTACAATTTTATATATGCACAATAATTCATATCGTGCAGTTTCAGATATGCAGGTTTCATAGTCCTTTCGTTGGAAGCTGTACAATGTGATTGCCATGCAGGAAATAGACCTGTGCACCGGTATCGAAATTGCTGCCGCCGGCGCGCCGGTGTTTTCACCTTCAGCAGCGGTGTGTCAACGGCGCGGGGTCCATCGAATCGGTGGCGGCGCGGCGCGAGTAGGTGGGGGGAGGTAGAATTGTTATTCAAGGGTTGGTGGAGATAGTAATTTGTTCCTTTATATTTTGAAAAAAAAAAAAAAAAAAAAAAAAAAAACTCTCTCCAAAAGGGTGAAGCAGTTGAAGTGACAGCAGCATGTCTTAATGTTACTTATTTTCGAATACTGTTCTTTCAGTTTTCGAGACATAGCAGGTATCAATACAAATGTTCAGCACCTGCAGAAATACAATTTAACAAAATACATGTTCACGCAAGTCTTTTTTCCAATTGCTCACAACTGAGTCTGCGCAGGTACCAATCGAGCTCATTCCGAAATGCACATTCCGCAGAATATCGACAAACAAAATAAAATGAAAACAATTACTAATTGATCTAACAAGCACAATATTCAGCAAATCAAATCACCGGGTACGGTGTGCAGAAGGTGCAGCGAAGGATATGGGTGCTATAACACTGAAACCAGTGTAAACCATCTTATTTATGCAGGAAGATGGCACGATTCTAAGTGCACCGATGTTCGAGAGGGGCTGCATCGATAAAACATGCGCATTTGAAGTGCATACAAGAAGTGCTGGCCTTAGCGACACATAGCTATATGATGCTGAAGTAGAAATAAAGTTGGGCAAGTTGGTGGATGTTCATCGTAGAATATTTTACAGCGCGACGGATTAGAGACGGACAGAGAAAGGGAAACAGCGCCTGTCCGCCTCTAACCTGCTGCGCTGTAAAATATTCCATAATAGCTATATCATGTCTGTGGTCAGGTCATCAAACAACCAACTCTTATTCGAATTTGGCCAAAATCTTATGCACCGTCAGTCGGCATCATTTTGTCTCGTTGCTTAACGTGTGTCAGAGATACCAATGTTTTCGAAGATGCTGTACTGTTCCGAAATACTGTGACATTTAAATTTGTTGGGAGACTACAGTTTTCAAACTCTGTTACACGTACACCATCATTACTATATGTAAAATGAAAAGGCTATTTCTCATTTTTAAAGTTCGTAACTACAGTATTTTTGCAGTTACTATACGATTTCCATGTTTCACTCCTGTTACAAAACTACAAAAAAAAGAAAACAGTAATCAGTGCATCTTGATTTTGAGTGTTAGAGATGATTTTGCAGATAACGCAGTCTTCTGCATACATTTCAAGTTTAATTTGGGTGACACTGATAACCTTGGCTACGTCATTTATATAAACAATAGAGGATTAAGCACCGAGCCTTCTGGCCTCTTTCTGATGTTTATGTACATTAGATGACTTTGCATGATTAAACGTAATGAATTTCAAGCACGATCGCAAGTAATTTGCTATCCAACCAATTAGGTAGTTGTCACCAAAATTGTGAAGAAGCTAGAAGTTTGGTATGGCAAACCATGGGAAAATCCTTAGAATAGTCAATAAATATGGCATAAATCTGTCTGCGGTCATTTAGGGAAGCAACCGTGTTGTGTGTAAATTCAAGCAACTGTGTAGCCATCGTGGAAATAGGTTGTGCGATTAGGTATCCCATATAGTATTTGTTGATTATATACTCCCCAAGTGTGGAGCCTGCACAGAAGGCAAAGGCATTTGCCTATAATTTGCTATTTGCTTGTTTCCGAAATTAAGAGCACAACGTTTGCTGATTTCCGCAGTTGTAAGACTGTTGCAGAGATTTTTTTTAATGTTGTAGCAAAATATTTAGCACACCATACTTAGTACCTTTTTCGAAATATACTTGGCATACCTACCGTCTGAGGCCAGATCGTATACCGTAACTTCAAAATTACTTATAGGTTATGCACTTCGGGGGAGCTCAATTCAAGATTAGGAAGAGCAGGTAGTTTGCTGCATGTGGAAAGTGAAAGTGATGCTGTTATCAGTAGAAAAAAAAAACAGCTTTGAAGTAATTAATAAAGGCATTTACTATAGCTTCCGGATTTTAAGAGGATTGACCATCAAGAATAAACAATGAAGGCATAGACTATGCAGAGCTAATTGACCTCTAAAACCTGGATTGATTTTTTTAGTAACAGTAGTGAAGGCATTGCCGAAGTTGAAGTTCTTAGCCTCTTGATTTTAGCTTCTATTTACTTTCCAGTGCATTAACTCAAGAAGCATAGTCATTACACTTGGTATGACGATTCTTACGTAAGAGCTTTATGCGACGACTGACATGGATTATATATTTCTGGTAGCATGGGTGTATTGGATTTCATTCAAAATATTTGTGTGGCACATACTTTGATAGGACATTATCACAAAACTTAAGAAGGATCGAGCACAACTACATTGGAAATTCGCTAAAACATTGGAAATTTGTCAAAAGATGAGGCTAAAGTGTTCAAGTACGGAAGTGTCATCAACTTTAAGAAAGTTTAAAACAGTTATGATCTCAGACGTTCGAGGAGAACACGGCTGGCGACATAAACAGTATTATGGCCAGAAAACTCTTCGACGACTTCACGTTTCACGCCGTGCGATAAAACTCGCAGCCTCATAATGACCTTAGGCCTGCAGCTAACTCTTTTTCATCTGATCTTGCGAAACTACAAAACGCTAGTGTATGGGAATACGGCTGTCCTTGCGAAAATAAGCAGGGTTCGTACAGTGATATCATAGCGTGTAGAATGGTAAACGAGATGTTCGCCGATGCCTGCTGAATCAGCGAACGCACCGTCACGTGCCACCACTCGCAACCACGCCCTTGATTCAAAGTTCACAGATACGATCGAGCCACGCAGCCTCCTACCTGAGTATTCATTTGTACTCATTCGTCAGCAAAAAACAGACAGGGTTTTCCTTCTGGTTGAAGAGCAATCGACAGTAGGTATCGCACGTGGAGTGATGTTATCGCATGCGCCCTCCATGTGATGGAGATGGGCAGCTTGTTTCATCTATGCTTCAGCAGTGTTCCTCGCTATGGTGCTCGTGAGATTTTATCTGAGGGAACAGCATCCAGTGTGCATACAAAGTAATTTATTTGGACTTTATACGAAACATGACGGGGATGATGAAAGCTTGTAGACAGTGTCCATATAGTTTTTCTCGCAATAAATAAATATACAAATATTGTCGAAGCGAGGTGGCCCTTGTTATGGAGAGCTGCGTTGTCTTCACTGTGAAGATTTCATCCGTTTGGAGAATGAAATAATTCAGAGCCTTTTCCTTTGGTTTCGTTCTCGATTACACTTCACTAAGCTCTCTTTACAGCAATTCTTACAGGCTCATCAACATTTCTGTCTTCATAAAGCATGTGTGCAATGTGAGCGCTAAGCGTTGAGCCTACCAGGAATTTCGAGCTTCTCGGCTACACTCTTCTTATTTCCACATGCGCAATCAAAATTCGCAAAATGCAGCGATATTAGAAGTTCATCCCGCATGATAATCCTGTGAAACACGACGAAGAACGGCGGTGGCGGGTGGCGAATGCATGGCAAAGCAGGGTAAGAGAACAATTTACAACTCCTATTTCTCCTATATGGATCATTCTAGAGTATTCGCCCTATTTATGTCACGTGAATCACTGTTTTGGCATCGCGAAGGTCGCTAAAAGAACAAGAAACGCCAAGACAGAATAACACGCTGACTGTGTATCTTTGGAAGCTGTTTTAGGGCCTTGTATACATAGGCCGCGCATGAAACACAGAAACAAGAGATCAGTCACGACACTGCAAATGCCACTCTCAGAAATCTTTAAGCCGCAGAAAAACAAGTTAAGTAATGTATTTTCTGCCCAGATTCTGCGCACTGGTAAAATTAAGACAAACGGTGGCGTCGCCAAAAAATATTGTCCGACGGCGGCGGTGGCGTGATCTCTCTTGAAACTTTGGCGGCAGGCGCGAACGGCGTGAGCAAAAACGGGCGGCGGCAGCGGCGCACAGCTCTAGCGGAAAAGATGAACATCAGAAGGTGCGAAAAGACTTCAATGTTCCGCAAAAGACAGGCTGTTTATAGAATTGTGCAGAGATTTTCGTGGCAAATCACCCGGTGTACCACTTGAAAATGAAGTGATGGCATTTAAAATCTCGCGTAAACACAAGCCATGGAGCACAGGCTCAAATTACTTTGTAGTTTGAGAATAAAGCTTTAATAAGTTGAAAATAAGACTCCAGCCCAAAGCTTTCCACTGACAGCATGTATAGAAGACTCCTGTTTCTCCAATGCGATTCTGTTTTGCATTAAACTGCTTTATTTTTTTGGTGCAGGTCTTTTTTTAATATGAGAAAAGCATTTTTTAGAGGTGCACCTGATGAGCACCTCTTTATGTTGGGATGTTACATTGGCTGCTGCCATGCCTTCTTTTTTTTCTTTTCATCTTCTGTTTAGATAATGCCCTTTTCTCTCTCTGTGTACCGTGCAGTTCCTGGTGTTATCGGCTGTATGCAGGCTCTTGAAGTGGTGAAAATTCTTACTGGACACGGAGGTGAGTGATTTCGTACACTTGTGATTTGCAACTGTTTATTTCATGAAGTTTTTTGCACATAAATGACACAGGACACCGATAATATCTATTTATCTGGTGCATCAACTTGTATTGTCGAGTAATCTACGCTACATTTTCGGTGTTTAGCAGTCTGTTGGCCATAGAAGGCATATCTGGTCAGTGTCTGGAAATTGTAGTGCTGTTTAAGTATTGTTGATATAACTGGCATTGTTCTTTAAGTGAAATGCAGGTTCGTTCTAAAAAGTGAGTGACAAGCAACAGTGTCGAAAGAATCCACTGACTTGCCTAGAGGACAATTATCTTCCTTACCAACTGCCGAAGTGTAAGAGTTACTGTATCTTCTGGGAAACCATAGATGTCTGCTCCGGAAAGCTGCTCCTGTACGACGGCGCGGACGCCAGGTGGCGACAGGTGGCACTCAGGGGAAAGCTGCCCAACTGCGACGCCTGTGCCGACCCATCGAAGGCTCCTGCAGTGCGAGACTATGCTGCTTGGTGCGGCATAGGTCCCACCAACAAGGTGACTACACTTGCTACATGGTATTTAATTTAAAATCTAGGCTCGTGCGAATGTTCGAGCGCATTAAATGTTTGAACCAATATTCCAGCATTCCAGTTTGTTTCGAATAAAATTTAAATTATTGGAAAATTTGAAGCAATCAAAAAGAACTAATAGCTGTGTATATTATTGTGCATGTAACCACTCTGTAAACGTGGTTTCGCAGCAATGGAGGGGTGCTATACAGTGAGTGCTTTTATTTAAGAAAATCTGTACTGCTGCAAAGTCCCACTTCAAAGTTAAATTAGCATATTAACCTCACATCGCTCATCATTTTTTAAGATTAAAAGCTGGTGATACCGCCCTATATGCTCTAAGTATAGTAAATATTAAAACTACATATTTTACAGGCTATCACTTTCATTCTATCAAAAGTCAAGTTCTGCTAGAATTCGAAGTTGCTTCCACTTCCTTTGAAGGATGAAGAATTACATTTGCACACATTTGCACTTGCCTTGTATCATTGAAAAAAAAAGAAAAAAAAAGAGCATTGTGCGGCTTAGTTGGTTCATGCTCAATATTTTTTTTCTATAAGTGGTATGTACTATTCAAATTTGATTTTTGCTTCATATTTGCTTCAAACCTAAAACTTCCTGTTCGCACAAGCCTATCAAAATCTCTTCATACCACTTAGGTTAAGAAAGACAATGAAGCATCTTTTTACTAGCACATGTTTTCTAGCATGCTTGTTATGGGGGTACAACATGTGTAGAGAACTTCATTCATTCACAAGTTAAGTGGGCCAGTTGGTTCATCAACATTGTGGCAGAACAGTGCAGACGAACGACATACAGGACAGAGCACTGACTGTCAACTGATTTCTTTATTGGAAAGGCAGAGGATATGGGCAACCGAACAACGACAAGCGCAAAATAATAAAAAAAAAAGATTAGATGCTGTCCGACTGTGTGGGGTCTCGAATTGGCGAGCGCCACCACCACGCTGTTGGACGAATAGACACAGCAGATGCGGTCGGTACAAACCGTAACATACATTTATTTAACTAATTTTAGAACAACGATATTGCCACTTTCAACCTGCAGAGAAGAGCTCGTGCAGCAAGAAAGAAGGACGAAGTTCTTGCCTGGTCCTCTTTACGAGCACCTTTCATTTAATTAAAGTCAGCTCTTCCATATCGCACTTCTGCCGTGTCTGCGTCGTGACACTGGTGGAGGTCCTTGGTACATGTCCAGGACACCTTAAAACAGCCCGATATCTAGTCCCCAAAGACTTCCGCTCACGGAACGCTGCACAGTGGAACGCTGCACAGAAGTTGGAGTACGTATATTTCCCTCTTCAGGACGGGGCTTGCTCATGGTTCATAAATTGCGTGTGGTCAACGTGGGACGAGTTCCGGCAGAAGTTCCTGGACACCTTTACAAACACCGAAAGGCGGGAGCATGCACAACGACTCCTCGAATCACGGATTCAAAAGCCAAACGAATCAGTTGCTATGTTTGTTGAGGACATGGCTCATCTCTTTCATCGAGCCGATCCCGATATGTCCGAGAGCATAAAGATCAGGCACCTTATGCGTGGTGTTAAAGAGCAGCTCTTTGCTGGTCTGGTACAGAACCCAACTTCAACCGTCGATGAATTTTCGAACGAGGCGACCGCCATCGAACGTGCACTACAGGTACGCTACTGCCAATACGACCGCCCAAACAACAGCGGACAAATCAGCGCAACCGCCGTGGTTACTGTGACACCTGAGCGTTCTTTGCGTGACCTGATACGCGAAATTGTGCAAGAGGAGGTGAAGAAGCTCGCCGCCACACCGAATGACTGCGCGATTGCGTCGGTCACAGAAGTTGTTCGCCAAGAAATAATGCAAGCACTTTCACTTCCCCAGCTTAACACTGACATAGTTAGGCCAACATATGCAGATATTCTCCGTCGACAGCCATCTAACGTGCCGCCACCTCAGCAGTACCACCAGCAACGGCCGCCGACAGTGCCTTGGTACTACTGGGAAACATCAATGCAAGCTCCACGCCGATGCGACGCTGATGCGACCGCAACTCCGCAAAACCGACATCTGGTGTACCACTGACTACAGACCCTTGTGCTTCCATTGTGGGGAAGCAGGCCACATCGTATGGTATTGTCTTCATTGCGTCGCCGGGTACCAAGGATTTCCGTCCTCCACCCCTCGGCGCTATACCAATGCTAGACCCAACGTTGATACGAGCACGACGATCCCGCGGGATGTTTTTCATGGGTTCCAGTCACGCTCGCCCTCTCCTGGTCATTTTCCCCAATCTAATAAAGGTAGCACGACGGACATGGCGAGAGGAAAATCTCCCACTCCACGCAGGGGAAACTAAAAGCAGCGACCTTAGGGAGAAAGCTTGTGAATCGCCGAAGAGAATCCTCGATTATCACCGCACATTTCGAATGAATCGAAGAAAGACGACATTGTCACCGCTGACATTACACTTTCAATTGACGGTCACGACGTGACGACACTGGTCAACACTGGTGCGGACTTTTCAATAATGAGTGCGAATCTGGCCGACAAACTCAAGAAGGTGAAAATGGAATGAATTGGGCCGCATATTAGAGGAGCTGGAGGCCAGCTGCTGACGCGTACCGGAAAGTGCACCGCACGAATGGAGATGGGGATTCATCATTCGTCGCAACCTTCGTTATTCTTTCTGAGTGTTGTAAACAGGCTATCTTGGGTATAGATTTCTTGTGGGAGTGTGATATGTGTCGTGCGCGAAGCTTCAAAGTGCGCGCCATTCAAAGTGCGCGCCATACAAAGTGCGCGCTTGAAGCAGACAACGACGAAGGTAGCACGAGCGCTGAGTAGCGTGGCGGCGAAGGTACGAGAAGGAACGAGGAAGACGGGGCTCTCGACTCGGCCGTTGGGTTCCGGACCCGAGCCTAGTAACAGTCGAGCCCGGCCTACCTGCCACGTTCTACCTGCCACGGCCGTGCGTCGCTGACGTGCTGCGGCTTCAAGGCATCCTGTGCTTGAGGACACGCGGAGCTGTCGGGCTACGGGCACGAGTTCCAGCAGAGGTGTCCGGCCGGGACGCGGCCGGTGGTAGTGCCTGGTCTACCGCGCCAACTGGTCCACCTGGTCTACCGTGCGAGCAACGCGGAGCTGTAGGGCTACGGGCACGAGCTCCAGCAGATGTGTCCAGCCGCGACGTGGCTGCGGGGGCGGAGCCTACCCATCAACTAGTCGCCTGGTTGACCGTGCGGACAACGCAAGCCAGCTCAAGACGTAGCAACGAACCTCGGTGAGACCGACCTCATGTCTTGTGTCCATGCTAAAAAGGAGGGACGGTTAGTTTAGGACTTTGATAGTTCACAGAGACAGTGAAGGATTCTTTAAATAGCCTGTCCATGTTATGTGTGTTCGTTTTTCGTGTGTATAAAGTGTGGCGTACAAACGGCCTCGTCTTTTCGTGGGAGTCTGGGGCGACGGCTCGGACACCCATTAACTAAGAACCTGCACGTTGCTATAACACCCACTGCAATGTAACACTGGCGTCCGCTGCGACAGGACGAGGCCATTTGTATCGCTTGAGTCAGGCTGACGATTAGTGAGGAAAAGATGAGCTCGACAGATTTAATGGCGTTAGCCATGCGCATGGGTTTGGAAGGTGCGGAATTGAAAACTTGGATTGATGAGCGAGAAGCTCGAGCTCGTGAGGAAAGGGCGGCAGAAAGAGAGGCGAAGAAGGAACAAATGCAGTTGCAATTACAAGTCGAGGAGCAGGCCCAAAGGACGATCCAATTGCGCCTTCAACTGACTCAGACTGAAACCGCCAGAGAGCCTGTCGGGGCAGACATAGGTCGATCATCAAGGGTGTCTTCCAACGTCAATCCTCATAATTTTATACCAGGATTTGATGAAAACCGGGATGACCTAGATGCGTACTTAAAAAGGTTCGAGAATGTGGCGACAGGGCAAGAGTGGCCTAGAGACAAGTGGGCCACGGCTCTGAGTTTGTGCCTAAGCGGAGAAGCGCTAAAAGTGTTTGGTCGCCTATCCCCTGAAGATGCACTTGATTACGAGAAAGTGAAACTGGCTCTATTTCAGCGATTTCGCTTCACAGCGGAAGGGTACCGTGAGAAGTTCCGGCACAGTAAGCCTCAAGAGGGAGAAACCGGCCGGCAGTACGCTGCACGATTAATGAGTTTTTTCGACCGATGGGTGGAAATGTCGAAAGTAGACAAAGAATACGCGTCAGTTCGTGACCTGATTGTAGCTGAACAGTTCATCAGTAAGTGTCATGATCGAGTGGCGCTCTTTTTGCGTGAAAAGAATTGCCGTAAACTTGAAGAAATGGCTGAAGCGGCAGATCAGTTTTTAGAGGCACAGCGACAGTCTAACCTGCTTGTTTTCCGAGAAAAGGCTGAAAACGGCATGGCTGTGAAAAGTGGGAGCACGACCTCAAAAACTTCAGTGCAATGTTTTGTTTGCAACAAAATCGGCCATAAAGCCTCAGATTGTCGCGCTCGGACGAAGCAACCTTACTGTGGGCATTGTCGTAGGGCAGGACACGATACCCAAGTTTGCACCAAGAAACCCGCCACGTATAAAAAGGCTTCATGTATATTGTCCGAAGAGAACTCTAAAGACAATGATAACGCATCCGGCGGCGGGTCCGAGAATAATGTGTCGGGGGCAGTAAACACGCAACAAATGGCAACGAAATATCAGATGCCAGTTCTCCAGGGTCTCCTATTTGATAAGCCTGTCTCTGTTCTTCGGGATACAGGAAGTAACACGACGGTTGTGCGACGTTCCCTCGTGCCCGACGAAGTGCTGACAGGAGCTATGACGACAGTATTTTTAGCCGATGGGAGCAGAATAAAAGTTCCCGAAGCAAAAGTGGAGATATTTTCGCCCTATTTTTCTGGCACGGTGATCGTTAAATGCATGACTTCCCCATTGTATGACGTCATCGTGGGAAACGTGCCAGGATCCCGTGATCCCAATG